GTCAGGTAACTGAAGACAAAGGGCCTTCCAAAGCCAATGAATGAGACTAATCATTCTCAGGCGACCGAATTTGTGTTGCTGAGACTCTCTAGTTCTCAAGAGCTCCAACCTTTCTTGTCTGTCATATTTTTTCTACTCTACCTAGCTATCCTGCTGGGAAACTTTCTCATCATCCTCACTGTGACCTCAGTTGCTCGCCTTCATACCCTCATATACTTTCTCCTTGCAAACCTCTCTTTTGTAGATGTATGTGTGGCCTCTTTGCTACACCAAAAATGATTGCAGACTTACTGCTAGAGTGAAAACTTTCTTTTCAAGCCTGTATGGCTTCGATTTTCTTTGTTCATCTCTTTGCTGGTGGTGAAATGGTGCTCCTTGTGTCTGTGGCCAATGATCATTATGTTGCTATATGCAAACCTCTCCACTACATGACAATCATGAGCCGCCGCGAGTGTTTTATTCTTGTCCTCATCCCATGGTGTGTTGGCTTCATCCATACTGTTAGCCAGTTGGCATTTACTGTTAACTTAACCTTTTGTGGTCCTAATGAGGTAGATAGTTTCTTCGGTGACCTCTCTCTAGTGACCAAGCTAGCCTGCATCTACTAATTGTTGCAGACAGTGTCTTTCTTTATGAGTTCCTTCCTCCTCTTTGTGGTCTCCTACACTGTGATACTCATCACAGTGAGAAATTGCTCCTCTGCTAGCATGACAAAGGCCCGCTCCACCCTGATTGCCCATATCACTGTGGTCACATTGTTCTTTGGACCATGCATTTTCATCTACGTGTGGCCCTTCAGCAGTTATTCAGTGGACAAAGTTCTTGCTGTGTCCTACACCATCATTACTCCCATCTTAAACCTAGTTATCTATACTAAGAAACAAAGAGATGAAGGCAGCTATGTCAAAACTGATAATCCAGTATCTGAGGCCTGGCCAGACATCGACAGTCATAAGAAATGCTTTTTTTCCTGGAAACAAAATAAACCCACAAGACCATTACCACTCTAGACTGTTACAAATGTAATTGCTGTGATATTAAAGCAAATCATCTTGACTAGTGGGAAGGAATGATTATCTTGGATTAAAGGATGATTTCCTATGATAATAAAAAAAGTAATAGAATGAATGTTAGCAATTTTAATATTCTTCCCTGCACTTTTTTTCTCTCTTTTTATTTCTGTTTGCTCCTTTTTATTCTTTATTCAAAATGTATTTAAGACACAGGCTTATTGGCTGTGAAACAATAGGAAATGACATTTACTTACAAATAAACTTTGCCCTGTCTTCTCAAAAAAGTACTGTTCAGACTCCACTTTTGAATGATAATAGGTATATTTCTTTATACCATAGAGATAATAGATGTATTTACATATGTAACATATGATATATACTAGATGATGTATTATATACAATATACGGTATACCTAGTTAAGAAGAGATTTAATACTGTACTATGTAAGTAACAGCATGAAGAGAATTCTATGATTGATGGTAATGGTGTCAGTGAATGTGTAAAAGGTCCTGACTATCCAGCAAAAGACATTTACATCAACACTTCACAAATTCTTGTCTGAAGTGGCTACTTAATAAATATTAATTATGGGTAATAACTTATTGAATAAATTTACCAACGTATTTTGTGTTTGGTTATGTTAGTGTATGTTTAATAATAAAATTTCATTCTTCTAGCAAATACCTGTATTTGATTTACCTAGAGTGCAGTTAACAAGGACAAGAGTCTGATCCATCTGCTTCTTTCTTTTACCTCAAGGGATATTCTTATGATGAAGGAATCAAAGGGTAGCAGGCCAGCTGCTGTAACTTCTTCCTCTCACATACTCATAAGCATATTATTTGCTGCAGCCTTGACCCCATCAAGATCACCTCTATTATAACATTTTAACTGCCCTAAAATACACATTCCAGAAAACACTGCAACTAATAGAGATATAATAAAATAAAGGGCCACCAATTAAATCAGTTTATTAAAATATGATTTTCACACAATTATTTGAGTGTGAAAATTATCAATTATATAGAAACAGAAGCAAAGAAATAACTGTGAAAAGTGTTGAAGATAGTTATTAATAATTTAGGTTTACTAAGCCTTTTCCTACACATGCCTTGTTTTCCCTATAATGTATTAAAGAAAAGAGAATTATTAGTATATATTATAATTATAATAATTCCATTAATTTCACCCTTCATTTTATTCCATATTCCATCATTTTTTCTATTTCCTCTTTTCTTTTTCAACAACTTATTTCTCTTTGTTTACTCTTATCACGAATTTGTGCATTAAGTGTCTCTGCTAGGTATTATTTGACAATAAATTGTGCAGATATATGATTTTAAAATATTAGATTAAGATTTGACAGCCTTGGAGAAATAATCAAATAAGTTGCTCTTGAAAACGTGTTATATGAGACAAAGCATTTAAGAATAACAACATTGCAAAACAAGATGTAAATGATTATATAGAGACTCATATGACCCTATTAACTGTGTGACACATTTGACTATAAAAAGTGCTTCAGGAGCTTTATTATTCCAACTAGTTATTTGGAACATGCATTTAATTCCTGTCCTAACAAAATCCTATTAAAATAACCAAATGAATATCAAAGTTGAAAAAAGTCATCTACTCTAAAATAATGACAAAAGAAAACATAGCAGTAATTTCTATAACCTTGGACTAAGCAATTGTTTCTTAGATATGACACCAAAAGCACAAGCGGCAAAAGAAAAAATAGATAAATTAGGTTTTATCAGAATTAAAAACATCTAAGGGCACATTCAAGAAAGTAAAAAGAAAACACCAAAATTGGAAGAAAATGCTTGCAATTTATATATCTGGTAAAGGACTTGTTCAGAAAATGTGAAGACCTTCTACAGTTCAAAAATAAAAAGACAAATAACTCAGTTAAAAATTTCCGAGAAATTGGAATAGATATTTCTTCAAAGACATACAAATAGCCAAGAAGCACTTGAAAAGATACTAAACATCATTCGTCGTTAAGAAAATGAAAAACAAATCCACAATGAGATACTACTTCATACCCACTAGGATTGCTACAATTAAAAAATATGGAAAATAAGAAGTGTTGGAGAAGATGCGGATAAATTGAGGAAAAAACTATATGTTGTTTTGCATCCTTAAACTAGTGCAGCCACTTTGGAAAACATTCTGGTCGTTCCTTTAAAATATTGAACTCAAAGTTACCATATGCCCAGCAATTCCACTTCTTAGGTATATATGCATGAGACGTGAAAACATATGTTCACACAGAAACCTGTTCACAAGTATTCATGGCAGCATTATTCATAACAGCTAGAAAGTGGAAACACCCAAAAGTACATCAACTGATAAGTGGATAAACAAAATTGTGGTATATCCATACAGTGGTTATCATTCAGCAATATAAAGTAATGGAGTACTAACACATGCTACAACTTCGATCAACCTTCAAAACACTATACTAAATGAAAGAAGCTAGTTACAAAAGACCACATATTGTACAGCTCTATTTACATGCAATTCCCAACATAGGCAAATCCATTGGAACCGAAATCAGATGAGTGGTTGGCAGAGGCTGGGTCAAGGGGCTTGTGGGGAGTGGTTGCTAATGGGTATTTTTTGCGGGGCATGAGAAAAATATTCTAGAATTAAACAGTGGTGATGATTATGTAATCTTGTCAATATACTAAAAAGCACTTGTAAAAGGTGAATTTATGTATGTCAATTATATATCAATAAAGCTATTAGAAAAATATAAATTTGACTCTAGTAATTTAGAAAATTTTAGGGATATTTAATTTGTTTAAATGTGTTGAGTATAAGAAATAGCACTGATTAACTGGTTTCAAAGGAATCATTCATCTACTTTAAACACATGTGAAATGAAGATTTATTTGGAAAGTGGTCAAGATACCAGCAGAACATTTCCCCTAAAATTCAGGAGTATGAAATACTAGTGTTCTTGGCAACAGTAGCTGGGAGTTACTGACCATTATCTTCTGACCTACATTAGGCATAAACAGCATATCAGAAACCAGCAATGCGTGACTTGTCCTAAGTATTTTCAAAAAAATTCTTAAAAGTGAAAATATAATATAAAAGAAAATAATGCAACCATCTGGACTGATGTTCTGATTCTTTAAACTAAGCCTTGGTGAGAAAGTGGGAAAGAAATACAAGTTATGAGAAATCAACTTCCATAAGAAAGGTGACTGCATCTTATATTTTAATGTTAATTGAAGTAACACTTAAATGTTGTTTTGTAAACTTAGCATACATGACTTTCAAATCATAGTGAGAATTTTAGAAAGGTATGTAAAATATAGGATAGATTAATTTATACAGTAGGCTGTCTGTATCCACAGATTCTGCATCTGCAGATTCAACCAACCAAAGATTGAAAATATTCAGGAAAAAAAAAAAAAGACTTTTCCCCCTTGTCATTATTCCCTAAACAATACAGTAGAACAACTATCTACATAGCATTTACATTGTATTAGGTATTATAAGTAATTTAGAGATGATTTAAGTATACAGGAGAATGTGAGTAGGTTAAATGCAAATGCTACACCATTTATATAAGGGACTTGAGCATTTGGGGAATTTAGTGTTCAAGAGGGTCCTGGAACCAATCCCTTGTGGATGGATACCTAGGGAAGACTGTATGTGTATATGCACGTGTATGTACATAGAGACAGAAAAATACTAACTGATGTTAACTCTGAATGCCGGCAAGATGAGTGATCTGTTTTTCTTTCCTTTTTTTAATTTTCAAAATACTATTAATATAAAATTTTCTGTGATAATAAAAAAGGACAGAATAATGGATCTTACAGTTACCTTTATAAACATTTTAATATACATAAATATGTCCCTCCTCCTCCCAAAAAGATATTTTGCTAATTTAGTTAACACAATTGAATATCAATCTTTTAATCATTTATTTTCCGTATATTAGCTCGGTTGTGATCCCAAGTTCTTCAAATACTTCTTCCATGCCTCTGGTTAAATCTCACAGCTCTGAATAATTTTCTCAGGCCCTCCTTCATCTTCTTATTCTGGAGACTATACATCAAGGGGTTGAAAAGAGGAGTCAACACAGAATAAAATATAGTCGCAATTTTCTGGATCCCAGCTGCATTGCCTGCTGATGGGCTCACATATACAATCATGATGGAGCCACAGAACATGGATACCATGGCCAGGTGGGTGCCACTTGTGGAGAAAGCCTTATGCCAGCCTTCTGCTGAGGGTAGCCTTAGCACAGCTCTGATCACCAGCGTGTAGGAGCTGATAATGAAGAGGAAGGTGGAGAACATGAGGACAGAGTTAAAGATGGCACTGATGACCTCAGTGGCAGGAGATGGCACACAGGACAACTTCATAAGGGGTCCTGGGTCACATAGAAAGTGATCAATTTTATTGGGACAACAAAACGGGAGCTGAGAGATTAGGTAAACAGGCAAGAGGAAGTATAAGAAGCCACACAACCAGCAGCAGACTCCCATTCTGATGCAGCGTCAGACTGTCATAATGGAGGGGTAGTGCAGGGGCCTGCAGATGGCAAGGTACCTGTCTAAGGCCATGACAGACAAGAAGAAGGTCTCAGTGGTGCCCGTGGAGAAGAAGAAGTAGAACTGGAGGAAGCAGCCAGAGAAGGAGATGGAGTTGGTTGCAGAGAGAAAGTTGGCTAGCATATTAGGGGTAATAATCGAAGTTATAAACCAGATCTCCAGGAAGGAAAAATTGGCCAGGAGGATGTACATGGGAATTTGTAATTGATGATCCCACCTCACAATGCAGATAATGCACATGTTCCCATCAGCATCAAGATATATGTCCCAGAGAAGAATGAGAAGAGGAGGATCTGAATCTCCCAGGTACAAGGGAAGCCTAAGAGAATGAATTTACTCACAGAGCTAGAGCAATTAACATTGGGATTTTTATTTGATTTTAAAGCTGGAAAGGTAAAAGATTTCCATATTAGAAGTGGCATTATATATTATTACTCATTAAGCAGATGCCTTGAGTAGGGTCATGTGAGTATGCATGTCAATCAATAACATAATACCATGACTCATGCAGAGATTTTTTTCATGATTTTCAGATAGTCATAGTCTTACTCTGGACTTAATGACACAACAGTTAATTGTTCAGCTGCTAACCAAAATGTTGGTGGTTCAGCCCACCTAGCAGCTCCACAGGAGAAAGACCTGGTGATCTGTTCCTATAAAGATTACAGCCTAGAAAATCCTATGGGACAGTTCAACTCTGTCACATGGGGTCACTGTGAGTCAATATTGACTCAACGACAGCTAACAACAACAGCATTCTGGACACTATAAATACAAAATAAACAGATACTTTTCTGCCGTCTTGAGGTTTACAATCAAAGGGAGTGGATATTGAAAATTGTAACCTACAATTTTATGTCAATCAACGAGTAAGAACTGAATAGTTTCAGCAGAGACAGCACGTTCTTGACATTTAAAGACATTAAAGTACAGTAATGTACAGCTCTATGTACTGTTCAGACTGATTTGAAGTCAATATCCAGGTGCCTTTATAGATTTAAAATAGTATATGCAAGCTGATTCATTTTAATTTTATTGTGTTAGAATATGGGCTATATTCCTATATCTATTTTTAGAATATATTCTAACAAATTATTAAAGAGAAATTTTATGAATATTTACCAGAAAATTTCACACTTCAATTTTTTTTTATTAAAGTATTGTCTTAAAAATACTGTATGTACAAATTTCTAAAAAAATTTTTCATTGCATTAGAATACTTGGAATACTGCATAGGAAGTCAAAGAGATCTTGATTAATGGATTTGTATCAGGATCGCTATGAGTCGGAATTGACTCGACGGCAAGGGGTTTGGTTTCGGTTTATCAGCCAAAACACCCAGAAAAATGGGTGTGTCTCCTCTTGGTAAACCTATAGAGAAGAAATTCTATCATTTTCATTTCAGGTTCTAGTAATAAATACTGTTTGATAATATTTTGTCTAAATTGGTTCTCTAACATTGCAATTTAAGTATTTTGAAACAGTAATCTTTATAATTATCTCAATAAACCATTTAAATGAAATTAATATAAATATGTGAGATACAGGATAACATTTAGTAAGACTCTTCAATACCATACGATTTGCATGGAGGGTGAGTCTTCAACCCTCAGATGAATTTGTATGAAAAAGAACAAATACTCAAAGCTGATATTCTAGAATAGTGGTTCTTAAAGTGTATTCTGGGGATCCCTGGTGGTTGAGAATCTTTCAGGATTGCCAGATCAATTATTATTATTCTATAATAATAATGAGGTACTATTTGCTTTTTATACTCTTATTCTTTTATGATTATTAAGTGAACATTTCCAGATCATATGATGTGTGGTATAGCAACAGACGCAGATTGACTGTAGAAGTGGATATGAGAATCCAATTGTCTTCTATTAAGCCAAACATTAAAGAAATTGGCAAAACTGTAAAGGAATGCAACTCTTCTTACTAATTTTTATTGTTTAGGCAAAAGTAGTTATTTTTCAGAAAAATATATCATTTTGTTAATAAAAATTCAGTTTACTATTTGTATTTTAAATGAATTTATAGATAAATGTTTATTTTTCTTATTTTTAGTTTTCAAATGGTAAATATTAATAGCTGTAACTCACATAAACAAAAGTTTTTGGGGGTCTTTGATAGTCATTAAGATCATAAAGAGGTCTTGAAATCAAAAAGTTTGACCTATTCTAGGTCAATCTTGCCTCCTATAGAATAATTAAATCCCTTTCCTAGCTATTCAGAGCAAAGTGTAGTTTGGCCAAGAGCTTTATATGATGCTTGACTTGTTTCTATTTTTCCACTGGCATATTTTATTCTTGCTATTTTCTGTAAACATCATTATGATCCACATATAAAAACAGCAGTTTGATTTAGAACAAAAAAAATCTTTAGTAAAAAAATCACATTTTAAATTAAACATTCAGACATTTTAGAACAATAAAGTCCTAGTTTGAAAAACTAAACAAATAAATAAAATTATGATACAGTTATTTTGTTTTGTTTTTGTACAGCATAAGGACTTGCAATCTAAATTAGAAGCATCCAGAATTTTCAAATTAGTGTTACAAATTAATAAGTAAAAGACAAAGAGCTTGCTAGAAAAGTGGGTTAATTCAATGTGTCTGAAGGCAAAATAACAATATGGCATGATTAAGGACCCAAGCTTTAGAATAACATTGTCATTTATATCAAACTCAATTCCTAATCTATGTTATGTTGTTCTTCAACTAAGTTTACAGTTGATATAAAATATTTAATGTTAAAGTCAAACATGTATCATTTAAAAATATATGTCAAAGTTGGTTATGTTCACAAAGACTGTCCCTCAAACTTTACAATCCAATATAAATAAATTTTCTTGTCTCCTAGTCCCTAAAATTGATAGAAAGTAATGGGGAACATGCAATATATTATTTGACATTTCATTGAAGGAAAGTATGTCCACATTCATTTCCTGGAACTCTGCCCTGACTTAGGGTATGGATTCTCTCATATATAGGAGGAATGCAAAAGGGAAACTGGCAAGCTTCTTTAACAGTGAACTTTTTTCTTTTTTTTTTTTTATATTTTATTGTACTTCAGGTGAAGGCTTGCAGAACAAATAGTTTCTCATGAAACAGTAGTACATGTGTTGCTTTATGACATTGGTTAACAACCCCACAACATATTAACCCTCTAAATTCTCAACCTTTTTTTTTTTTTTTTGGTGAAAATACACATAGCCAAAGATACACTTTTTCAAAAATTTCTACATACACAGTTCAGTGACATTGACTACGCTCTTCCAATTGTGCTGTTATTCTCACTTAAGATGAAGG